ATTATGATGACTGAATAAAAAATGGACTAAAATGTACATATTTTTAGCATAAAAGATACTGATTTATTTAAAGCCGTAATTGTTTCTGGTAGCAAATAATTACTATTGATTGTCTGATTGACTAGAATTTCATACATTTAATGCTAGAAGTCAATATCTTAGTTGGTGGTAGGTGATATAATTTATTTGTGGTACTAGTATAAAAATAAAGTCTTATCTTCTAACTTGCTCTGAGTTAAATGAAAAAGTTAAATCTGTGAGAAATGAGTGAACAAAAAATTACCAAGTAGATTGTCCAACATGCTTATTAGCCTAGCATTTGTATATTAGGACCATGCGTGACATATTACAGGTGCTGATACAATTTGAAAACAAAAAGTGACAGAATAGCAAGGGTGGATTGAGCTGTTTTCTAATATTCACCCAACTAGAAACCAATATGAATAATGAAAGCTGTGAAATAGATAAGTGAAGACATTTCTTAGTAAGCAGTTTCCATTCTCCCTATCACATCTTCAGGAGCAACCACCGAAGGCAAAAGGAGGCAGATAAAATTATTGTTAATAAAATCAGCACTAATAAAACCAATACTAAGCCTAAACATATTCTATTTTAGACTGGCCTACAAAAATTTGAATCACTTCATCTGAAAATTACCTGATGTTAACTGCTGATTAAAGAAATATGAATGTTTGGAAGTATGACCTAATTATAAATAACCCCAGATAGTTTTGGGGGTAGTAGAGTATACATGTACTTTAACCTAGGTCATAATAGATATTTTTACAATTTTACTCATTTGATTATTACATTTTATACATAACTCTATAGTAATGTATAATTGAGTAAATCAACTAAGAATAGGGATCTGTGGAACATTTTCCCAGGGGATTGTGTCAGGTAAAAATATTTGCAATTGTTATGAAACCAGAGTAATAAATAATTAAACACAGTTTTCTGATTTAAACACATCCTTGTTTTATGTGGCATTTCAGGACCTAGATTATGTTATGATAACAAGACAATAAAAATCCAAGTTACTAGAAATTTACAACTAGTTTTCCAACAAAAGTTTTAAGAGATGAGTTAAAGCAGCAACCAAAGATACTTGTTAGTTTTGTGGTTGTGTTTATTGTTGGTTTAACCCAGAGAGGAAGCAAAGATGGTCAAAGTAAACTGTGCCCAGAAGCCTAAAGCAGAGTTAGCCAAAACCTGCCCCACCGTGGACGCTGCCAATGGTCATACCTTCTGAAGCCTAGTGGTTCATAAAGAAAAGCTCATTTGATTGATATTTTTCTTCTCACTAAACTTGAGACCTTCAAGACCTTCATGTTTGATATTTTTCTTCTCACTAAACTTGAGACCTTCATGTTAATTCCCCATATGGAAAAGTTCTACACTAGTCGAAAACTCTTAGATCCTTGTAAGAATTTGCTGCTTTATACGCCCATGTTAAATATCACTCTTGAATCAAAATGGACATTTTAGATACAAAGTCAGGAGCAATGTGGCATAAGTGGCAGTTGCCACTGGTGTTTCTCTCTCACGATCAAATGATATTTAACAGTAGTTTCAACAGAGGCAAATTTAACTCTGAGAAAATTAGTTCTTAAACTTTGAGTTAGTCAGATTTTGAAAGACAACTTAAAAACATAGTCATTTAAATTGCAAAACAAATTACATGGTTTAAAACAATTACTTAGGCCGGGCTTGGTGGCTCAGTCTGTAATCCCAGCAATTTAGGACGCCGAGGCAAGTGGATTGCCTGAGCCCATGGGTTTGAGACCAGCCCGGGCAACTTGGTGAGACCTCATCTCTACAATAAATCAAAAATTAGCCAGGTGTGGTAGTGCATGCCTGTAGTTCTGGCTACTTGGAAGGCTGAGGCGGAAGGACTGCTGGAGCCCAGCAGGTGGGCTGAGTGTGCCACTGCACTCCAGCCAGGGCGACAGAGTGAGACTCTGACTAAAAAAAAAATTACTTAAAAATATTGAATGCTATAATGGAACAGATATGTATATTTCCTTTTCTATTTGAGGCTTCTTTTCATAAATGTAACAAAGTAATATTTCTATTTTAGTTACAAGGACATAAAGTAGAAACCTGGATTTTGGGTTAAGGAGTAAAGAACACTTAGTGAACCCTTGCTAAATGACCTTTTTCTGGTTTAATGACAAGAACAGTCATTCGTGCGTTCACATTTGGTTCTGGAACAAGAGTTCCACTTAATCATTCCTGGGAGGGCTGATGGGGTAGGGTAGCTGTCACTTGAAGAGGATATTCTCGGTTTGTTCACCAGTAGTAGCAGCCTACATAACATCTATGATAATACTGAAGGAACCTTAGGAAAGTGTCAGAAGACCATTCCTGTAGACACAGAGAAGCCAGAGAAGAGATCTCAGGTGTAGGGTGGGCCTATATCCCCAGCTTCATAAGTCATGCTGCTAGATCTTTCCGGTTTTCTAGTCATACTGAGAAGCAGTGGCTTCTTCAAATTGATTTCCACTGGATTATAGAAATACCACCCCAAAATCATCACATGTATTTTCTCTTTTGCAGTTAATATAATTTGCATTTTTTGGCCAGAACCATGTGGCCTTGGCAGATAGGACATCTCTCTCCAATGACAACTTCCTGAATTAGTTTCTTTTGCAACTAGTGAATCATGTCACTCAAATTTTAAACACAATAAAGGCCAAAATAAGGTAATTAAAGAAGAAAGGTGGATCTTTTGCAATCATAAACTCAGTTTTCCACAAAGAATTAGTGTTCAAATTAGATTGATTGTTCAGAAAACAAATTATGTGAAGAATAATCCAAGTATCTCGTGTTATTATCACACCAAAGTGAGAGCTTCACAGATTTTTTTCTCACTTTAATCTAGAATCACAAATCAACCATAAGACCTCAGTTATTTATCTTCTGGAAGAATTCATGAAGTTATGGGCCAGAATACATAAGCATGTAACTCACTAATAAATCTCACTAATAAATCAGGAATATGTATAAGTAAATTATTTATTTAAAGACTTGGCCTTTCAATGACTGTTATTTCAAAGAGAAAACTCAAGCATCTAATACACAGTAAATGATAACCAAAGAAGAAATTTTTAAACATAAGTGTTAGCACATGCCCCCTACATCTGACTATAAATCACCTGAATTTTGATTCTCATTCAAGGCACATATTGTATTTTCTGTTTGATGCTTTACTTCTTTCTGATATATTTCAATCATTCTCCAAAAATATTTCCACCTTGTGGTGAAATTGACTATATGAATGCAACAGTTAACAGATACGAGAAACAAAAAGGGAGATCCTTGAAGCCAACTATGTGAAGTATCTGTATTTCACAGCCTGTGATTTCTTATGAGCAATACCAGCTATGTCTAAAAAATATAAAAATAACCGCTACATTTTCGTGTGTTGGTGACTTTAAACTATAGAGACTATATCAGACTATATCTGTTTTTGCTTATCCTCACTTATTCCTACAGGAAAAATCTCACTAATAAATCAGGAATATGTATAAGTAAATTATTTATTTAAAGACTTGACTTTTCAATGACTGTTATTTCAATGCAAAACTGTCCAAGAGATTTCTAAGAAAAGAGACTCACTTTAAAAATAGTCATCACTGAATGGAATTTTCCTCAATAGGGTTATTATATGGCTATTCATTCTTCTTTCTCACAATTGTGTGAGGAAAAGCAATTATGTAGTTTACAGCATGTATAATTTGTCTTATAATTATAATAGATGCTCATTCTTTCTATAAATACTTATTGAAGAAGAAAATAACTGATCACTGCCAAGAAAATTAAATGCAGGCAAGATGTTGAATTTGAGATCATCTATCCCACTTCTCAGTTCTCCTTCTGGCTGTCCAATTACATGACATTTGATGTATACAAGAGTTATGAAACAACAAAAAATGGTACTGTTTTTGTTTTATTCAAAAATAAAACTAGATTTTGAAAATGCAGAAGGATTCAAATGATTTTCTGAAGGGATATTTGGATGGCCAGGCACTTCTGTTCTCTGTACTTTCATTAGAAAGCTATAAATTTATAAAATAATGATTGCTTAAATATTCTTCAGTAACTATCACGGGACTTCAGTAGTTATTTACGAAAATAAAATCTTCTTAAATGTAAAATTAACCACCCAGAATTTAGTTTTATAAGAAGGTGACATAAGATAGCAGCTGTTGGGTTAGTGCCCTTGAAGTCTGCTGTCCAGTGCATCTACCTGCTCTGGGCCCTGTGGGCTTCCTCCACCTCTCTGGCTTTCCATTTAGTTTGGCTAATAGGAGTGCAATGCAGCACCGAGGTCAGAGGATAGTGAGGGAGGCTATTGATTGCCCTGGCTCCCGCTATAAGTGCCTATCACTGGTTGACTCCTACTCTGACCTCCTAGATCCAGCCTTCTCCAGAGCTCTCTGCCTGAGGAGGCTGTTGTAACCTGACCTGCGATAGCGCATGACTCTTGTGGTTTTTCTTATACCTTCTCCAGAATTTTAATACCATGCCTTTGTTAGACTCTTTGGAATGATTCTAGTTTTAGTATGCTATCTCTTTTCTGTGAGATCCTGACTGTTACAGCTAGCTCTTCTTATTTATTCCTTTAAGAAAAAAAACCTACTGATAAACCAGGTATACATACAAACAAAACATTTATTTAAAGTCTTGGACACTTAGTGAATGAATGTCTTCATCATATAAAAATATAATACCTTATAAATGTTTGAATTATTTATATATCAATGAAATGAATTTAGCAAAATATCTTATTACCATCCAAATAAGTTTAGAAAGATTTCTGAAAATCATCAATATATGTAATCTACCTTAATTGAAGCAAATATTGCTAGCTAGTTCTATGAAAAGTATCAAATTCCTTATATAGAATGTACAAAACAAGTTAAATATTCCATTCCAAAATATTTTCAAAAACACAATTTATTTTCACAGATGCATATGTAAAAAGAAGTACTTACCTTTTCACCAATTTCTCCTTTGCTGCCTTCAAAACCTTGTTCTCCCTGTAGAAGAGGAATATGACATTTCCGGTAATGGAACAGTACTTCTAAGGCATACAATTTTTACTATAATGAAAGTGTTTTAAAAATGAACCAATCAACAATTATAAATAACCATTTCTAATATGTATGCTCTAAACCAATATTAAGTTACACAAAATTTAACTCTTCCTAAATACTAAAAGCACAGTTTTTAGGGTATAAGTGACAGCTACCCTACTTCCAAGGCAATTGAATCTTCATCAGCCTGAATTTTCCTGGGTATAAAATAAGTGTGATAATGGTGCCTTCCTCACTGGAATGTATGAGAATTGAATATGTCCTTATAGTGTCGGGTGAAGACCAAGTTATTCCTGTTATTATGACTATTTATGTCACTAGATTCAGTAGAAACTCTTCTTTGGAAAGCTGATTTTGAGAATATGGTTCTAGTGAGTCTTATGATGAACAAGCTTGGGTTTGAACCCAAGTCCCAGGTCCAGGGATGCCAGGGTGAGCTCCTCCCACCTGCCCCCAGCTCAGGCATGAATTAGAGGGCTGCTGAACTCAATGACCATATCTACTCGAAAAGGTGTGATCCCCTTCCTTCATAAAAACCCCCGATCTGCCCAGTCTAGTTTCCCAAATCACTCTGTGCAGATTTTAGAGCATGGTGTGCCATTCACAGTCAACTAGTGCTCACAGAGCACCTGCCACAGGCCAGGCACTCAGGACAACACAGCCAGCAAGTGAGGCTGGGGACAGCATGGACTCTCCCCAACAAGGAAAGCCCTGGGTATGAGACATTCAGCAGGTGCTTCCTGAGAGCACAGAGACAAGAGATGAAGGGTTTCTGATCTCAGGTTTTTTCTGTAATGCCCCAGCTTGGTGACACTTGGTCATTAAAATTCATATTAATTATATGAAAGGGAATGCCAGTTTTTTATATATATGATGGAGAACCCCAAAATCCAGAATTATTTTCTGGAGGATGAGCCCCTTGCAGTACAGGCTTCCCCCACTAGATAAGTTTCTAGGAATACATCGGCATCAGTGTAGAGCTAGCATTGTTGTAAGAGGCTGTGTTCAGTGTCAGTTAATTCTTTTTTGTTGTTGTTTCGAGATTCCTTCAAAACATTTGCCCATTTCATGATGGGTGATTTATGATCCACCTGGGCTGGGTGTTCAGCAGTTTTTGACCAAAAACGACATAACTTCCATACCCCACCTTCTCTATTCACCCTGTCTTGCCCTGAGCAATGTTTTTTGTTTCCCTGGATGAAAAAGCCCTCAAAGGGAAACTTTTTGCCAATGTGGAAGTAGTGAAACAAAAAACTGAAGAAGCACTAAAAGGGATCAAAACTGACAAGTTCAAAACTGTTTTGAGCAGTGTCTCAATAGGGGTACTGCATCAAACAGAGAGTATCTTGAAGGTGACTGAAGTTTAAGCATGTAAGAATAAATATACCAAAAAAGAATAATTTTTATAAATTTTAAAATATTTTATAATTTAATAAATACTTTTTAATATTTTATAATTTATATATTTATATTTTTTATAAATAAATTCTGGAGTTTTTTAGATCCCCCTTGTTTATATGCACACATGTATATATACATATACAGTGTGAATATATTTTTTTATTATTTTATATATATCCACATAATTGAATGTATGTATGTTATTCTATAATTGGATAGTATACATAGTATACATAATTAGAGGATTAAATAATATATGTGTGTATATATACACTCATATGTATACACACAGTTGCACACATATAATTAAGCATTTTTTTTGCTTCAGCTATCCTTGAAAAAGTAACCAGGAAAGAAAGTAGGTCAGTTATTAGGTGTTTTTACCACTGAATGCGTGGTCTACCCTTTCCTATCATTTTTCCTAAGATATGGGCTTCGAGCCAGCATGGACACTGGTGGTCACCTCCTGTGCACAAGCTGTGGTGTCAGCACGATGCAGCCACCACAAACAGCTGCTGGAAAGTCCAGGACTGTTTCCCAGCATATGAACCTGTACATCCTTTGGCTGCAACTCGACCCACAGAGGCAGCACATGCTGCAGCAATGGGTTCTGTCTAGACCCGCCATGAGGAAGGGCAGAACTTGCCATTTTGTTGCTGCCAGTTCAATCGTATTACCTTTATCAGGCCAAGCAAAGAAACATTTTTCAAAGTCTAACTATAAATCAGTGCATATCTTTTAAAATGATGCCAAAGTCACCAATAATAATTTGAGGTTGCCAAGGACTTGTTTAAAAGTGTTTTCAAGTCCAACCGAGAACTCTGACATTTAAAAATAGGTAAGATGTGATACTTAAAGTCATATTTTCTTTTTTTTTAAAAAAAATGATGCTTTCAATTAGAGAGAAAAACCTAGATGTATAGCAACTTCTGACATCATGCTGCTAAAACCTGGACAAGCTCTCCGTAGCACAGAAATGACATGCTTGGCATAGGCAGTCATCTAATGTTGCATCGATAATGCCCTCCCCTGTGGTAGGGTTATTTGGTGGTATCACGACAGTTGTCCCCATCTGAAGAGGCTCCCCGTGCCTCCAAGAAGCTGGAGTATCTTGGTCTCTGTGTTTCCAGCAATGCTGGGTACACACAACCATGCTCCTTCTTGAAAGGAGAAAGCAGCCTCATTCTGGGTACAAAGAGGGTACAAAGGAAGTCACCTTGGTAAAGAGAAAGGTACCAGGCACAGGAAGCCTTCCTGTGAATTTCTTGTTCTGAAAAAAGTGGGTTTTTTTTTGTTTTTTTGTTTGTTTTTTGAGTTGGAGACTCACTCAGTCACCCAGACCTGCTGGACTCCCGCGATCCTTCCACCTCAGCCTTCCGAGTAGCCGGAATCACAGGCACGCGCTACCACACCCAGCTGATTTTTTAAAATTTATTTATTGTAGAGATGAGGTCTCGCTGCCCAGGCAGGTCTCAAACCGGCGGGCTCAGGCAATTCACTCACCTCAGCCTCCCAAAGGAAAAAGCGGTTTTTAAAGAGCTTGGTTGCTCTATCTGGGGCATGTAGGAGAGAAATATAAGCAAGAAGTAACCAAAACCAGTCAAAGGCAGTGAAATATATTCCCTTCTGCATTTTCACCTCTGACTAATAATAGCAGACACATGGCCCCTCCCCTGGCAGAAGGCTCTCAGATAAAGCTCCCTCCTAGAGTGGACCCTTCAGAAGAAGGCTGCTTATGTGACCTCTCTTTGGAAAGACAGGCCAGTAGCTTCCTAAGAGTCTTTGAGGGAATTCAGTTTTACCAAATACATTTTCTGAATCTTTATTATATACAAATTTTGTTTTCAAGATGGTAAAATTCTTAACTCAGACGAAATATTAAAAACCTCTTTACCTTTTGACCAGGTAATCCTAGATCACCATGTAAGCCATTTTCACCCTAAAAGAAGTATACAGAAAAATTTTTATTATCCACAAAAACAAATGAACACAGTTTTTTTGTAGTCTTTAACAGCTAGCTCTAGCACTTGGGGAAAGATAGTCTAGGACTGAACATCTGTGTATTTGGCTTTCCAAATACCTCTATCTCTCAACTACAGAATTATCCTCTCAACTCCTAAAACAAGGAATGGAGACTCCAAGGGGGTCACTAACATCTCAAGGCCACCTGAGTAGACACATCACCTGAGGTCCAACAACTCGTGCTTTCCTTTTTTTTTTTTTTTAAGATGTGGGGTACAATTCAGGGTTAGGTATACAAATGCTCATTATGCAGGTACCCTTGTTAATGAGGTGTGCACCTCTCTCCTCTGGCAGCTTTCCTCAACTGCCAATCCCACCGCCCCTCTCCGGCAATTTCCCACTACTGCCAATCTCTTTCTTATAGTATTATGATAATTGCTTAAGGTCTGCTTATGAGTGAGAACATATGGTACTCTGTTCTTTGTTTCTGTGATAGATCACTGAGTATGATCGACTCTAAATCCATCCAAGTTGCTGTGAAGCCCATATGTTTGTCCTTTATCACAGCCTGTGTTTTCCACCTGCTGTGTGGCATCCCTTATTTCATGTTCTTTTTTTCAACCTCTAAGTGTAATACAGCCTGCCACAGTGCTGTGGTCAGGCACCATTCTCACAACAAGCCTACCAAGGTTACACTATTGCCATGACCATCATGTAGATGATTTACACAATAAGTAGGTGGTAGAACTGGAATTTGAACTCACACACTTTGGCTGTGGGCACCCAGCTGTCTCTCCGCATCATCTCTGAAAAGATTGAATTCTGGCTTGCAAGTGACATCTGGCCTAAAAATCTTAATTTTATGTGTCTATAATATATATGAGTGTGTGTATTCTTATATACATGAGTATGTTTACCTTCTTACCTGTATCTGTTGATTGCCTAAAGATCAATTTTGAAGACGTACTCAATGTCATTTATATGAAACCATCTGTTGGAAGAATTTTTAGTTCTTCTTATTCTCTGGTTCCTATCTTGGGTAAAAAGGTTTCCAGAAGATGCTTATCAGTTTTCATTGCTGGAATTTGCGGATCATCTCTTTGGCAATTCTGACTGGTGAACAGCACATAAGCTGGGAGATACTCCTGGGAGGATGTGCACATACTCCTGGGAGAATGTGAGGAGTTTAGTTGCTTATGGGAATTGACTTTGGCTTCTGAGTTCCAGGGTTAGACAGTTCAAAATAAACTAACAATTCCTTGACCTGTTTTATTTTTATCAAATATCTATACTTAATTTATAGGATAGCAGTTTTTAAGCACTGCCTAAAATGCAGTTAGATGTTGTTTCTTAGAATTCTTTTAATAAAATCCAGATGTATGAAGAAAAAAGTCACATCTTCCAACTTCAAAATAGCAATAATCCATTCTGTCTGCATCTAAAGAGATCTTTGTTATTTTGCTAAGTGATACAATTTTGAAAAACTTTAGTGATTTTCACCAGGGGTGTGCTGCTATCTATAAGCACACATACTATTAGAAAGACTAAAGTTTTTCTTAGATTAGATTAAATTATCAAAGTATTCTACAGTGTAACTGTTGCCATCACCGTATAGACCAAAGTTCTAAAGGTAGAACTTTGAGCTAAGTAATCAGGTGTTAAAGCATCAATAAATATAATGTACTTATCTATGAAAACAACACAATGCTATCTTTAAAACATCCTGCTACAGTTCTAGACCTTGAGCCTCATGAGAGTCTGTGAAAGTCTCCCATTTCATCTGATAAAGTGACAGCGAAACACAGGCAGTGTGTGACGAGGAGTGGCCTATGGGGGCAGAGCTTCTGTTACTCATCACACAAGCATGGCCACTTGTCCAAGGACCAGATTATGTTCCTCAGTTAATCCAACATAATGTTTTATATCACATTACATGTTATTCATGATAATGAGATATGGCAAATAATCTGGTAATGTGCGCTGACAGTAGACACTGCCCCAAATACTTTTTTGGGGAAGAGAGTTGTGACAGTACCTCTCTTTTTTCTCTGCCCAGAGTCCCCTTTCAGGCCCCAGGTGCTCTGAGCACTGGCACCCAAAGTCCTACCCATGCCACACATCAGGTTAGGGCTACACTGGCACAATATTAACTGGGCCATAAGTGTCTAAAGCTGTGATACTGAGAATGAGTCCTAGGGGATACAGGTTTTATGACTATGGTCATTAAAATATTGTGTTTTCCGATGATCAGTGTTAATTGGTCTCTGCTTCTTCGTGACTGGGAATTTGTTTTGGAAAACATAATTCTAGACTCCAAGATGGCCAAATGGACATCACTGATTATCTCACAGGAAATGAACTGGCCTCATGTGACACATTACCATGTGGAAACTTTTGAAATATTTTGAGACGCCCTACTTGTAAAGTAATAATAATTTTAGTTTAAATAATTTGTGATTATTTTAGTCCATGAGGGCTAAGCTAACATGCTTGTGTCTACCTCAAAAAAGGAGAGGTTTATTGATTATCATAAAAATTAAAGAAGAAAATAGTTTTGCAAAAAGTTTTTATTTTTGAATAATTTTGAAAAATTGCCAGAATAATACAGAAAGCTGCTATATAAACTTTACCCATATTTTTAAAAATCATTTTGCCACATTTGTTTTCTCTTTGCAATATGTTTATATGTATTTCCTGAACCATTGAGAGTTTGTTGCATACTTCGTGATTCCTTACCCCTTAGTACTTTGGCATATGTTCCAAGTATAAAGAATATTTCATATTACTGCAGTAAAGTTATAAAACTCAGGGAGAAAACAGTTTTAAAATACAATTTTGTTTAATGTATTAGTGGATGATGGTGTTTCCATTAGGACTTTATCTAAAACCTGACTTATGTCAACAGATGAGCCTCTTTTTATGCTCTTTTTGATGCTCTAGGTTAAAGCTCCAGGTACTGCAGGCAGTTAGGGTCAAACTTAAGTCTATCCATAAAATAAACACCTACCTACAAAGTCTGGAGAGGCACACATCAGAGGACTTTCTGAACTCCTGCTGTCTCACCCCTTCCCAATCTCAGCCCAAGAAAGATGCTTCTCCTTTGACTTCCAATCAATATTTTAGTTTATTATTAAAATAAACTGACAATCAATGATTCCCATAGAAGCCATAGCTTCCAAGATTTGCTTCTGAGGCATATATTTTCTATTATAAGTTTCTCTCTCAAGGAACAGTGTCCCTTTCCAATCACAAGTTCAAACTTCAAGAAGCAAAGAAATAAGTGTAGGATAAAGCAGGCAAAACCAAGAACCACTGCCGATAGCGTTGCTGTCTGGCTAGGACTACAGTGCATGTCTTCAACTTCAGAGGACAATCAAACAGCAGCCTTTCCAATATTCAACATAACCTCTTTGAGAAGTTTTTGGAAAGATCTTAGGTGAAGTTTAGAGACAGCTGGTGCCTCTCTGAAAAACTGATCAAAACATTTAATTTTACCTCCTTTTAATCACTGCACATTTTCCAGCAGTAAGCACAGCTAAGTACAAAATACAAATGATTAGGTTTCCTGATTCCTTTGACATTGTCCTTCCTATTATGCAGGATATATTGTTGTTTCAAGGACATGTGATCAGGAATCAACTCCCTAAGGCTATAGGTTATTAACCTAGTATCAAGGAATTCAAGCAAACAAAGGCAGAACAAGCAGATAAACCAAAATTTACAAATAACTGGAATTACACCCAGGAAGTTGGAAGATGTATGCCATGGTGTGGTGATTATTACTTTAAAATGTTAGTTATTCAGCCTTTGATCAAAAAGTCTGAGACCCTATCATAATGCTTTTGTATTAAAATATAAATTTGACTTATTATTTCACTTATAGCACATTTTACAGGAATATAACCTTCTTGAGAATTTAGTGTACACTTGGAAATATATCAGTGTTTTCTCACTAATTAATTCATATTCATTAAAATAAAATTTACTTGAATGTTGAGAAAAATAGCTGGAAGAGAGATCTGAAGTAGAATACTGGAGTTCTAGAACAAAAATCAATAAAACAGGTAGCAAAATGTGACTATGATTTTGATTTTGTGTTATCAACATGACCTCTGATTTTCTGACTAGTCTTGCTCTTATTAGCTATCATCTTCAGAAACTGAATTTTCATATGATTCTTAAACTGTTGGAAGTCTATTAAATATTTCAGGAAATAAAAGTATACTTGAACTTCTTATTTTTTGGATATCCAATCTGAGTCCTTTCATTCTGGGGAGAGGGATTTTTTCCTTCTATATTTTGGGACATTGGGACCTCATTCCTATAAATAAATTGTCAAGATCACACAGAATTTAAAACCTCAAACTTTTAAAATTCTTTGTATTTGTTAGACACTTGCTGCAGCTAAAACATGGGGCTATATTACCACATTAATTCTCAAGAGAAAACCAACTGAAACATTTTTAATCATAAAGTGAATGTGACCATATTGTTATTTATTCTTATGGGTCATTTCAAACAAGGGAAAACCAGTCATCAAAGTTAGTGTATGGTCAATGCATGTCTTGATCATAGTAATGTATATATGGGTGGTTAGTGATAGCTGATTCCATATCTACTCTCTTAAATTCTATTACCCTGAGTGTATCTGCATGTCTGTGTACACAAGTATGTGCAGCTGAATATACCTAGAAAACACTCAAGCATGGTATTTTAAAATATAGGTATTTTTAAATATATGATATTTTTAAATATAGGGTATTTTTAAATATGGTATTTTTAAATATAGGTGTAAATTCATATACACCCCCTCCACTCAAGTATCTGATGAGGTACTGACTCTATTGAAAGCTTTGTAAAGTCAGACACTTACGCAATTTAATTTGCATTGTGGAAAGCACAGAAAATAGTTCTATGTGTGGTTACTGAACCCAAGTTAACCTTCCCTGTATTCTTATTTCTACTGTCTGCAAAATG